TTGCATTAATTTAATGCCTTAATATATCTTTTCCAATGATCTGGTGAGGTTTAGAATAGCTTAAGAAAATTGCTTTTAGCACTTGTGACTTATCATAAATATTCTCAATAAAAAAATTAGTTCCAATTTCATCCGGAAAAATTGCTTCATTAATCTAAAATTTCAATATACAATATAATTCAAGACGTGCCTAATAATTTTTTGAAGTAACTTATCTCAATAATACTATTGTAACTTATCTCTCACATCTAGAGAGACTAAGATATTTTTCAGTACAATTTAAACAAATGCAATATGATTTTCCTCTCAATCCGAGGGATTAGGCACAACACCATGTCAACTTATAGAGGAAAGGTAGATTTACGATTTAAATAAGTCCACAAGCAAAAGTTCAAAAAGAAGAAAAAAAATTATACTTCCTTAAAAATAATTTTGCACAAAACACTTATCATTTTACATTTATTACTACGACAAATTGCCATCCCACAATTACCATCACCGCTGGCACAATCGACCACTATCCCTCCCCCCTCCCCCTCTCTTTATAATTGTTGTCCTCACCTCTACCACAATTGTTATTGTTGTCATTGTCGCAACAAATGTCACCATTTTCATCTGAGATTACACTAGCATTACCTCTACTCGATTACCACCATCGTCGTTGTCAGATATATGTTTGTATGTGCATGTGCATTTGGGAATACATTAAGATTGTAACATAAATAAGTATTTTTTGTGGACCATTAAAATGTCGTTTTTTATTAAAAAAAAATTCTTTTCGTGTTAGTTTTTTTTTTTTTGTAATCATTCAAACAATACTTACCAATGAAAGTGATTTCCTTATAAAGTAGTCCTAACAAATACCTGTTTAAAAATAAATTTTCTAATTTCACAAGTCAATGATCACACTAGCAACTTTCCTTTCTTTAAGTTGTTTTGGTCACAATATTGGTATCAGATTAGCTACATATTGGGGCAGCTCCAAAATTTAAGGGTGGGTCTTCATATTTGCATGAAAAAAAAAAAAGCAAGGGAAGAAGTGGCGCATAATAGAAATTAAGAACATAAAATCGGAAGCTCACTCTTCTATTAAACGTAGACCTTAATACCAGCTGGCAATAATTTCTCGTAATATATGATTTTAAGGGATACTTGGTGATAAAGTTTTAGAGTAATGAGAGAAAATGGAAGAACGTAAGTGTACAAAAATTCAACGTGATTCTGCCTATGAGACTCACCCATGAGTCAAATGCCCCGAAGGCTGTATTATTCTCAAGTGAATGCATGCATGATTCACACATATTTTGATGATATCACGATCAACAAATAGATTTTTATTGATCGCAGCTCGATATCAAACGACAAAACTTCATTAGTGTCATAGATGGGATGACTAGCGAACCACTTCCAGAAGGGAAATGTGCATTGACCAACTGGCTCCAACACAACAGCTTGTGCAGGGGCAGCAAGAGTTCAACACCTACTGGAATAACATCATCCTACTTCTAGAAGGCATCACGTCACACCTAGGAAATGTAATGGTCCCAATATTCTCTTCACCAATTCTTAACAAATTGGGGACCATGTGATGATGAAAGAGGGATCACCTACCCCGTAGGTATATAAACACCAAGGGCTTCTCCATGTGAAAACATCGAACCTATTATAATCCTTTCTTCTTTCCCAAGCAATTGAAAATCCCCAAAGAGCACTAGACACTATTAGAGTGAATTATTGAAGCTCTCTAGTGAACCACTACAATCCATGTGCACATTTTGTTATATGTCATTCACATTCGTATTGCCCAAGTTTAATTCGGGTCGGTTTTGATTGAATTCGGATTATGTAATTCGGACAAATTTTGGGTTAGAATTCGGGTTGTGTTCGGGTTACATAATTCAGGTTAGAATTCGAGATGGGTTCATTCAAGTCCGAAATCAGTCTGTTGTCCTAAACTTAGTACATACTACGTAGTATTTACCTAAAGTAATAACCAATAACTTCAATCAAATGTTTAACATAAAGATCATAATATTTAAAACATAAGACATAATAGCCAAATGTTTAACAAAAAACTGAACTAGAAGATTGATCCTTAGTGTTTTACCTTATAAGTTATATTGCTATATTGATTTTTACATTTATTTTAAATATGTTCAGGTTGAGCCCGATTTATATATTTGGGCTGAGCCCAATTTGGAATTCGGGGTGAACCCAATTTATATATTCAGGTTGAATCTAGCATCCCGAGATCTCAACCTGAGTATTGTTCGAATTCAATTCTGGTTTGTGTTTTTTTACTCAGGCCCAACACAAGTATTAAAAATTTCAATCTAAGCCCTGTTTTTTCTGGGTTGGGTTCCAGTTAAATTCAACTTAACCCACCCAAGTTGCACCCCTAATTTACACCATCACTCACAAGCCTTAGGCTATTCAACTTAAGCACCACGACCATTAGTTAACTTCAAGTTTATATGATCATTATATTTGATAGACATTTGGTACGATATCAAAAAGTATTTTTTGGGTATCTTACTACACACAAAATATTAATTTTTTAGGCTAAGTTACAAGTTTTTGGAAGTCAATTTACAAATTTTTTGAGTGTTTGGAATTGATCTCAGTATTTTATGATTGATCCCAAACACCCTCAAATGTTGCAACTTCACCCAAAAATAGTGTGCCTTGACGTTGGATCGATGCTTACTTTCTTGTTATAATTTGAACTCAAAAATTATATTTTATGCTGACAAAATTATAAATTTTGGTATAAAAAACAAACCCCAAAGACAACCAGGCTAAGATAATTTTGGACAAAAAGAGGCAATTCCATGAATGAGGCTCTTATTATTGCATGGGTTGGAGAAGATTATATTTGATGGTGTGCATTGCACAATTGAACATAGTTGTGTCCATTAAAGATTATATTTGTTATAGGAGCAGGCTTGTGTCGACTATTCTTTCAAGTTTAGCGGCTGGTCAATATGACTTGAGTTGGGTTAGAGATTGTACCTCAAGAAATAAGAGTGATTAACTCTTAGAGAGTGTGAGGAATAATTAAACCTAATACTTCTTGATTACTAAATTCTAGGTCCAGCCACTAAACCATCTTTAAGAGTTTGATTTAAAAGAATTTTACAAACAAAAGAAAACACTCTACTTAATGCATTACTTGAAGAATATTTTTTACCACACAAGTAACAGTCACTTTTATAGTTCTTTTTCAAAAAAAATTAAATTTAATGCAATCTCATCTCAGATTGACCAAGTAAAGTAGCCTAACTACATTATTGACGAGCTTTTTATTTTTTTTGTCCTTTTCTTTTCCTGTAGTGCAGCGAAGTGGTGTGCAAGGCTAAGCCATGATGCGGAATTGAGCAATCAATATCACAATAGTGTGAACCTTTGAGTTGACTACAATAATAATAATATTAATTTGAGAATAGTATTCATTTTTATTTTTTTTTAATCTCATAAATATAGATTGCTAATCATCATATATAATTTAAGAACTGTATTCAAATAGGTCTCGACTCGACCGTATCTAGATTTTCGGTCCGTTTATAGCAAAGATCCAAACTTAGAAGGGTAAAAGAATGGTAGTTTAACTTAAAGATAGAAAAGAATAAATTTATTTCAACTTTTTTAATCATAAAGATAATTTGGCTAAGATTATTTTAGTTACAAAAAGGCCGTATTGTTAAGTTTTTAAAAGAATGATCACGTGTTTAAGAAAATGATCATCAAAAAAATTTAACGGATTGTCTAATTAGGGACCAAAGTAACACGGATTGAATATTTTAGGAATGCAATTGAAGACTAAATTAACAAAAAAAAATGCATACTTTAATAACCAAAAGTACTATTAACACTATAAAGATATATATTGTTTTTATATTTTAACTGTATCATATATTCAAATAAATTTAAAATTGAAAATAACAAAAAATCAGTTGTCTAATTGAATGAATGATCAATGGATGATTAATAAGTACGTATAAAGAAAAATATTTTTGATGTTATTGGCAATAAAGTTATGGTTATATTTTTTTGAATAAAAAAAACTTAATAAGGGTCAATTTTAAGAACTAAAAAGGAGTAGTAGTCCATTTCTTTTGTCTTTTTTATGTTTATATACTTAAATTTATTGGCGTTTAACTGTTTTTATTTTATGAATTTTTAAATATCAGATATAATACAATAAATTTAAATATATTATTTATTTTTATTAATTAAAAAATAAAGACCACATTTTGCCTCCACCCAAAGCCACCAAGGTGACTTAACATAAATACCTATCGGATCAATGAACAGCCAACCGCAGAAACTGACAAATCGGTCCTGACCATTAACATATGATTCTCTCTTTAAAGGCAGATATCACTTTTTATCATTTGCCAAATGTTTTTTTTTCCTACCACAATCAAAGTCCCACAAATAAAGGACTGAGAGAGAGAGAGAGAGAGAGAGAGAGAGAGAGAGAGAGAGAGAGAGAGAGAGAGAGATGAGAGCTAGAAATCATCACCATTATCAAATCATACATGGAGGGGGAGATCAACAACTGTATCAAGGTATATCTTTTAGCCTCTGTGTCTTTATTCTACTGCTATGTTGCAGGCAAGATTGTCCCCAAAGGAAAGCTCAGACTCTTCTCTCTCATCCCTGTGGTATGTCTCAACCTACTTCTCCCTCTAAATCTACACACCATGCACCTTCAAGGCTTAACTGCTTTCTTCATAGCTTGGCTTGCCAACTTCAAACTCCTGCTCTTTGCCTTTGGCAAGGGTCCGTTATCTAACCCATTTCTCTCTCCTTCCCTTTTTATAGCACTTGCTTGTTTCCCCATTAAAATCAATGAAACCCCTTCTCCAAAACAACTAAAAGACCATAATAAAGAAAACATGTCTCCCAAAACCTCCCAAAATGGCCATAGTGAACAAAACCCATCTCCCAAAACCTGCCAAAAAGGCCTAAAACCAATTTGGAATTATGCTATAAAGTTTCTATGTATAGCTATTTTGCTCCGTTTGTATGGTTATAGTGAGCATTTTCATCCAAAGCTTTTGTGGTGTGTCTATAGTCTCCATATGTACTTAGCTTTGGAAACATTACTAGCCATAGTGGCAGCCCTGGCTCGAGCCCTGTGGGGCATGGAGCTTGAGCCACAGTTCAATGAACCCTACCTCTCAACCTCTCTCCAAGACTTCTGGGGTCGAAGATGGAACATAATGGTGACCCGAATTCTACGCCCGACTGTTTACGAACCTGTGCTCCATACTTCATCTCGGGTCATGGGCCGAAAATGGGCTCCACTTCCTGCCATTTTCAGCACATTTTTGGTGTCCGCCATAATGCACGAGCTTATATTTTATTACTTGGGTCGTACATGGCCCACATGGGAAATCACAGGGTTCTTTTTGCTCCAAGGTGTCGCTTTAATGGTTGAGGTTGCAATCAAGAAGGCGTTTTCCGGCCGGTGGCAGTTGCCTTGGATCGTCACGGCTCCATTAACTATCGGGTTCGTGATGGTTACCGCATTTTGGCTGTTTTTTCCTCCATTTTTGAGGTGTAAGTCAATGGAAAGAACCTTTGCAGAGTACGCAGCAATGGGTTCATTTGTGAAAGATGTGGGCACGGCTTTAACGTCCAAGTATCTCAACAATGTAACAACAGTTTAGGATTTGTTGTTACACCTCATATCACCACAAAATAGGTGTTTTTTCGTCCCTTCAATGTATGCTTTTTCCACTTTTCTGCTCACTGGATTATTTACCGTTAATTTAAGCCGAACTTCTTGTATAATGAGAATTCTAGTAGAGAATTATGTTAATTAGGGATATATAAAATTGGGGTTGGCAAGATCTTGCAAAAAGTCATATGAAACTCACGATCCCAAAAGGACCTCATTATGTTTGGTGGCGTTTGCTAAGGATAATTAATAATTTCACTATAATTGGTAGAATCGTTATTGGCAACAATACATTTTGGCCTTGAGTAACGCCAAGTTATATGCTTGTGAATATGAATGGATCTCAATTTTTTTTCTTAATTGTTTAGCTATATTTTTATATATAATAAGTTGTGTCCACCCTTAAAATTGACTTTCATTTGTTTATTTGTGAATTCTTTTGATTTTAAGATCATAATTCAATTTTCAATTGTTTGAAATATGACATACAATTAAATTTTAATTTTTTAAGATTGATGATTAACTTGTTTCAATTGAATTCTAGAGCTATTTTTATGTTTATTTCTTGAATTTTTATTTATTTATTTATTTTAATTCTTATTCAATTGGGAATATATTTTATCTATTATATCTCTATACGTGTGTGACTCAAGTATAATTAGTGGTTGATTTCAATATGATCATTTGGTAAAAAGTAATATTATTTGGTAATGACCTTTTTTATTTGCATTTAGAATTTTTTGGACGTTTCGAATTTATGAAATCTTTTTAATGGATGGTTTGAAGTTTAATAGAGTTTAGATTTGTGATCTCCACTATTTTATTAACATACATAAAATTAGAGTCATCTTTGTGGAAGTCTAAGGTCATTAATTGCTTAATGTTATAGAGCTGGACTTAGGGCGTGTTTGTTAATCCAAATTTAGCACTTAAAATGAATATATTTGACACTTATTGATTAAACTTGTTTGATAACTAAAATTTCAACTCTCTTAATATGTTAAGTGTTATTTTAAAATAGACTACAATATTAAGTAAGAGATATCTTACTTAATTCTGAAAGTTGAAAGCTTTCAGTAAGGTCATCTTTAATTATATTTATAATATGACTATTATACCTCAAAATATTTTGCAATACTATTAAAACTCTAATTAGTATTCTCTCCAAAATTCTTATCCTATCTATCCTCCTTGTCAATCGTCTTCTTCAACGATAGATCTTCTTCTTCTTTTTTCTTTTTTGCTTCACTCGTCTGTTGCAAATATACATTCATTGCACACATACACACATTCAATGCGCACACACACACATACAGAGTTACACACACCCAAACACGAACACACAGGCAAGCACTGCACACACATATACCCACCCACCCAAGCCACCTACACACAAGCACAAATTGCACACACACATGTTATTAATGAGATTTAATTTGTTTTATTTTTTAAATTCGATTATTTATTCATTTATTTTTTTTAATCAGATGTTATTGTTCAGTTATAGTGTTATTCAATTTATTATTGTTCACTTATTGTTATTCGATTATTTATTAGTTATTGTTTATTTTTTTGATCAGATGTTATTGTTTACTTATTGTGTGATTTAATTTGTCATTGTTCACTTATTGTGATTCTGATTATTTATTTGTCTTTGTTCTTTTTTTTTTATTAGATGTTATTGTTTAGTTATTGTGTTATTCAATTTATTAATGTTCACTTATTTTGTTATTTAGATGTTATTTTTATGATTAGATGTTATTGTTCATTTATTATATTATTTAATTTATTATTGTTCACTTACGGTGATTCAAATATTTATTTTTTGTTTTTTATTAGATTTTATTGTTCAATTTTTGTATTATTCAATTTATTATTGTTCAATTATTCTGATTGTTCACTTATTGTTATTCAATTATTTGTTAGTTATTTTTTATCAAATATTTTTATTCACTTATTGTGTTATTTAGATATTATTTTTTGATCAGATCTTATTGTTTACTTATTGTGTTATTCAATTTGTTATTGTTCACTTATTGTGATTTGATTATTTATATTGATTTGATATATTTTTATTTTTTATTACATAAAATCATATTTTATAAATATTTTTAAATTAAAGAGTGGAAGTGTAAAAGTGAAAATTAATTTATTTTCAAACTTCAGCTCTATATAGTTATCAAATAGTTTGATTTAATTCAGTATTTCAATTTTAATAGATGTCAAATTGTCCACAAATTCAACATTCAGTTTTCAGATTTCAGCTTTTAGTTTTAACAAACATAACCCTAGTTAAAGTGCCCACACTTAGACTAATTTTTGCTCTGCCATGCCTGGCCAAAAAAGTGATTCAACTAAGAATGTTAGAAGAAAGGCAGTTCACAGAGGAAAAAAAAAAGTTAGCTCAACTCTTTTGAAAAAAATAAAGACAAGCATAAATGTATGATATCAAAATGTATTTTTTTGGTACCCTAATACAAAATATTATTTTTTTTAGGCTAAATTACAAAATTTTGGGAGTCTAATTTATTGAAGTGTGTGAAATCGATCTCAATATTTTATGATCAATCTTAAAATGCGAGAATTTATCCTAAACACTATCAAACATTTTAACTTCATCAAAAATTATTGTAACTTGACCTAATATTCATATTTTGTTGGATCAATCCTAAGATTTTAGGTTACTTTCTTGTTGTAATTTAACCTCTAAACGTTATATGTTACATAAAAAATGATAAACTTGGGTGTTAAAGTCAAACCCGGAAGACAACGGAGCAAAGATAATTTTGAACAAAGAAAAAGGCACTCCAATAAATGAGATTCTTGTCATTATTTGGCTTTGAGACGGATAGATTTATACATTTTTACCCTACTTAAATACTTTTTTTTTAAAAATTCAAATCCGTAATACCTAATTTTCAACAGTACTATCTTTATTCACAAACCAAGATTTATGATTTGTGGCACAGCTTGATGAAAAGGTATCATGTTTTACAGTTATGTTTTGTCTTTTGTCTTTTTTATTTTCCAAAAATGTTTTGACCATGAGCTGCGACAGATTGAGCTAGCCCTGCCGGCGAATCATGTGGAATTTCGAAATAACTGTTGGCGGCTGCTAAGCGGCTTCAATATATATATATATATATATATATATATATATATATATTAATATTAATTGAGAAGCAGGATCGTATAGACTCTGCACCATAAACCTCTAACAGGTGTTTTTTATGTAGATCGTTAAATTATGATCTAATATTCACTAGGCAAAGTTATTCAATATTAATTACCAAAACCTATTAAATTTAGTTTTTCACTAAATAGAAAATATCTATTACATATGTATTGTGATCTAATCCTATTAGGAAAATCTTAAAAATTAATAATAAAAAAAATTACGCCCCTGTTAATAATAAAAAATTGACCCAATGACCCAAATAGTATTTATCTTTATCCATTTAATTTATTATACCTATTTGGATTAAAAAAAATTAAATTCAAACCCTGCTCTTATGTCTATCTCCCAACAAATGTGCAAAAGTTCATAGCAGACTAACAGCGCAGCGGTTGTGCTACCTTTGTCATCTATTCATTTACTACGGTAATATCTTACATCATGATTTAGCTTACATGCATGCCAAGGACTTTAAATCTTTTGAATAGTTTAATCAATTGGCCACTTGATTATTTAGTTGGTTAAATGATTGGTTGTTAAAGCTTCTGATGATGTGGCTAAGTTAAAAATTCAAAAGTGGTGGTATTGACGAGTTAATGTTCGGCAAATTAAGTCAGTATAAATTTTTTAAACTTAAATTTAATAGTTATGCTTTTGTTTTATTGGGGACGAAAGCGCAATTTAATTACTAAATTCCACTGTATAGATATTGCTTGCCTCCATTGCTGAAATTTAGAATATTGAAACTTTAGTAGTGATATTACTTGTCTGTGTTTTCTAAATACTTGCCAATCAATTGCATATTTGTTTTTGTTTTTTGTAGATAATTTATTGTGTAGTTAATAAGCACTCCTAATTGGGTTGATTAGAAATTTAGGAAAGAAAGATAAATATTAATTAATCTCCCTCAATAATTGGCGGGACTCTGGCCGCCCCAATTAGAATCGTGTAAAGACCGAAGAGGCGCCAAAGACATAAGCCAATGAGTAATGGTTAAGAGGAGTTTAGTACATATATTGACGTTCATATTTAATACCATTTGACCTCTCATTTATGACAATGTGAGTGACGGAAACGAGACCATTAATGAGTCGCTGCAACCTCAAAGCCTAAATCTACAATCATGATGGTTAGACATTAATGGTTATTATGCCGAGTATACATCCTCAGCGTGCCTTGAAGTACTGTCCCCCCGAGCATTTAATGCTCAATAGTACTTGTCACCTGTCGATCGCAGAAATTTGGGTGCCCGGAGACAACTATAAATGCTCGACATGTCCCGAGTATTTATCCTGTCATCTTAGCATGAAAATATGTGAAGATCTGGGTGGAGAATACTCATTACACATGGCTAAGAGTGCCAGACATTGAATGTTCTGATAGGACTTAAGGCCTATTGCACTCATTACTAAATCCAAGGATAAATACTTTGCAAAAAAGAGAGTAAAGGTACGCAGTACTAAATTGAGAAAAAGAATACACTGCGCTCAAGCCTCCAATCAGATACTGACTTAAATTTCGGAAGGGATAAAATAGGTGTTCACCCCGGCTCCCTTTCTGACCTTGTGATTATTTCAGGTTTACCAAACAGGCAACCGTTATTTCAATCTATTGCAAGAAATCTCTCGTGCAATAATTATAAAACTGTGGTATTAAGGTAACAAACTACTGTTTACATAATGACCCAAAAAAGAAAAGCAAAAAAAATAATTTGACCAAAAAATTGAAAAGACTTACTCAACAATGGTGTGCCCTGCAACCCGTTATTTTTAGCTTATTTTTAACCTTTTATTTGATAATTTGGCCAACCTGTTATATTTATTTTTAATTTTTTTAAACCAAGCGGATATAATAAATTAAATGGATAAAGATAAAAATCATCCGGATTATTTTGTTGATCTGTTAATATTGTAGAGGTGCAAGAATTTTTATTATTATTAACCTTTAAGACTTTCCTAGTAAGACTAGATCACAAGAAATATATAATAGATATTTCCTATTTAGTGAAGAACTAAATTGTATAAGCTTTCATAATTAATTTTGAACATCTTTGTCCTGTGACCGTTA